TGTCCGTTAACAAAATACATTTGGTCCTTCACGATGACGTTATTCGAAGTAACAATTAATGAGCCTGTCCATTAACAAATTTTGGTCCATCACAAACGACGACTGAGAATCATCAATAATACAATAAGAACGAAAACAAACATTAACACCGCTCGTACTGTTCCAGCAATGACTTCAAACTGCCGACCCAATATTAACTTTCAGTAGTACGGCAACTTTTGTGGAAACGGTCCAGATTATTCTGTAGAAGCAATGTAAAACTGTCTGGAATCCAGTTATTTAATCTGGCTTAAACTATTATTTTAAAAGTTCTGTAAGTCTGAACGCAGTTGATAGTCAGACTTAGTCAGTAGAGAAGTCTAAGTTAGGATCCGCAGTATCCGGTTATCACTCATACGCTCAGTCTCAGAACCATGCATAAGTTAAACCGTAGTCAAGCTGAACAGACAGAGCGATAGAGTACAGAGAGAGTTATCAAGGTCCGGCCGCACTATGATCTGCCTATGCTCAAGCATTCGCCGATGCGATGACTGTGCAAACAAACCATTCTATTGTCTTCGGGACCCGGTGGCCATAAAATACCGGGTCCGGTGAAATAGGCAATTCACATTGGTCTTCGCTTGGCCAATAGCTGTCATAAAAACGAGCATGTCTGACCAATGGCTATCGTGAATACCGGTATCACACTGGAAATGCCAGTGCCGACACAAGTCAATGGTTATGGAACTATTTTTCTGCTAAACTACCAGGGCATGATGGGCATCCATTCCCGATATTATTATTTTTATTTTGTGATTACGGATGTAATTGTGATTTCTCGCTTTATGATTATGATTGTAAATAAAGCCCTTATTATAATGGTGGTGTTTATTACAGAATTATGGCTTAGTAAACGGCCGCCATAGAATCTGCTATCTGATATTAATTTAAGCAATAGCCACCAAAATAACAATGATGGCAAGCGCTGGCAGTTGATAGTTAAATTTCAAACATTAACATATTTGTATTATATTTGTTGATTTGTGGTTGATTATTACCATGAACAGGGATGTCTTCAATTCACGAGCGCTGTGTGTAGCTGCAGTCTAGTTGTAAATGGAATGAGTAAGCTGGAATACGTGGCATTTGGAAGGCTAGAAGCCCTCCCTCTGCCTGGTTCTGAGGTGGGGCTTGTGCTCTTACATCGCATCGGCGAAAAGTTTCTACGCTCTGTCCGGACCTCTTATAAAAGTAGCTCTGTCTGTTCAGCTTGACTACGGTTAAACCGTAGTCAAGCTGAACAGACAGAGCGATAGAGCACAGAGAGAGAGAGAGACACAGCTCTGTCTGTTCGGCTTGACTACGGTTAAACATAATGACGACAGGGCTGTGAAATTGGGCCATCACCCAGATGTGTTCCATATTGAAAAAGTTTCTTTTTTTGTCATTAATATTTTTTACAAAGCAAGCTAGCACTCCGTTGGCGTTTAGTTCCTTACATTTTTGACAGCCCTGTGCTGCTATAAAAGTATTTAAGTTCATAGTTCTGTTGTTCTAAGATCGAAGACGCTCCTGTTATGATCGCATCTGATAAGTGATAAGTACTTGGAAAATAAGATGTTATTTTGGTATGAACTATGAAGAGGCTAAAGTATCGCTAAAAGCATCGCCGTTTCCAACAATTTCATCTTAATCAACCGGACAGTACTGTATTTTCACAAGTTTAAGGGACACGAAAATGCCCTAGGTCTGCTTGCAAGCACCCGGGGCCTGTAGCTACGTTCAAGGCTGCTCACTGAACCCTAAAGTCTGAAATTACTTAAATCTTTGAATTTACTGTTGCTCATTACGGTCACCATTTCATAATTTACAATTTGACATTTCTATTATTTTCTGGATATCCATTTTCTGGACCTGGGGCATTTTCGTGTCCCTTAAACTTGTGAAAATACAGTATGAGAATGGGGCAAGTGTAACTTGCTGTAAGATGTGTGGATGTGTGTTAGCAAGAAATAATATTTGTTATACAGTCAATGACTGTTTAAACCTTCGAACAGAATAAACCAGAAAATAAAACAACCTTTCAACGCCACCGTATTGAGCAAGTCAGGAATCTGTGCGGCATGGTTTGGAAGATACTTTTCAAAGCCGTTTCGGGGTACCGCGGATACCGTTACAACTGGAAATCTCAAGGTGATCTTATAATCAAAACCTACCACGAACAGGCAGTTTTTTCGGAAAGCCACCACTTAGGTATTTGAATAATATAATATAGTATGTACGGTAATGTACCTAACACCTAATACCAGCCAGTGTGGAGGCTGTGGTTTGCAAATGAATACTTAGCCGTGTGCGCATGTCCGATGAGAAATCACTCGCAACTTCGTGCCGGCAAATTTATTAACAGCTACAGTAAGCGTTTATTATGCACTTGCGGTAGATAAAATATATAAGGACTTTATTTCCAGATCTGGATTCATTTACCGGTGTTCTGATGTTTGGCCGGAGATATCGTGCATAGAAGCATTACATGCGCCGCGTTAAAATTCTACTATTGGTCAGTATTCCGTTTGTGCGCCGTATCGGTGCGCTGCAGATTTTAGGGTCGCAGATGGCGCCAGGCACCGCATCACACAATTCCAGAATTCCAAATTCAGTTTTCGAATTGTATCCTGGCGATAGTTTATCACCAGAAATCACATTCAAAAATGGGAACGGGATATGTAATTGTCGTTTTGGGGGTAATTGTGGCAACGAAAACGATCGGTAAAACAATTAGCCCTGTCAGAATGATTCTGACCGGAATCCGCAAGCAGCCGTCAACGCGAATAACATTCTGACAGAATGTTGTACCCATCGATGTCTGCTCCCGGATAGATACAAATGGCAGATCCACTGTATTCGAAGCAGTTGCGGTTCTCTCAGCAAACCGTGAATCGTTCCGTTCATTGCATTAAAATTAAGTGGAGAGCAAGTCAAATTCAAACGGTAGTAGCGCGAATAAAAATAATGACGAGCTTGATCAAGACAGCTACTACGTACATATGCATAATAAATCCGTTTGCAAACGATTAAGGGATTTTCGGTCTTGAAAATCGTGCTACAGTGGACTTCATAAAATTTAATGTGGTTACGCATAGCCACCCGTACTTCTATGCATAGCGCTAGCGGCTTTAAGTGTAACCACATTTATGAAGTCCATTGTATCTGAAATATAATTATGCATTGTAAACAGAAGACAATCGTATCAGTTGCAGGGACTCAAAGCAGTACCAGTAATACTAAAATGTCTAAGTATGAATGCGATTTGTATATATCAAAGCGAACCTTTTTACGTAAAAAGGTTCACTTTGATAACAGCAACAAATCACATACCTACATTATGTATGTATGTATGTGTACGCACTTCAGTCTGCAGCAATGTGGCATTTGTTAGATGTAGATGCCGATTCTTTGTGACCATTTGCAGCATGTTGTCAAATAAAGCACACTAAACGTACAGAGCAAACTTTGCTATTAATTTTAATAACCGGCATTTTCACTTCACGGTTACTATGAAATAATTTGCTTTTTTACTGAAAACTAACGTGATTATTGAGCTGGTGATTGAAATTTAATGCCCACCAAAGACGCCAAGAAGCAAGGATAACCTGCATTATTGCGAGCGCGGTTTGACATAGGATCATTCCCACGGTGTGTTTTTCCAGTACAATAATTACTTAAAATCCAGAATACTAATTGTTTCGTATTTCCAATATACATAAGTCTCACTCATTCTAACTCCCTGCACGGGCTGGCAACCCCGTGGAGAGGGGGAGCGTTTAAAGCAGCGAATAAGAAAACGTCTCCCAGATCAAGTTAAAAACGAAGATTGAGAGTGATTTCCAGAGTTTTGCGCGTCCGGAGTTGTTCTTTTACGGAATAAGATACGCAAAATTTTAAGTTATTCTGAGAAAATTTCATTTCATACATTTTAAAACTGTTTTCTTATGACAACGTACAAATATCCGCGATAGGATGAAAGAAGCAAAAAATTTACTTTTGAAAAGTTTTACTTTTTTTGAATAGCTATAATGAACTTCGTTTTATGGAAATGCACAAAATAAATTTGTGCCTGTCTATGGCATCAAAAGTTGAAATTCAAGTTAGTTTGGTCGGGGTGTGTCCACGGTGAAGCTACACCAGCTATTTAGCTGGTCTACGCCGTAGACCGTAGTTGCAACTCTGATGAGTACAGCGACCAATCAAGCCGAAAGGCGGGGCCAATTAGCTCCACGGAGTTGCAACTCCCTGCGGGGAGTTGAAGATTGAGTGTTACTAATAAGGCAGGCTTAGGCAGCCCTGAGTTTCCCGATGCTTTCTATGCAGCACGATCTTTGAACTGACTGTAAAAGTCCATTAAGTTCTTTAATAAAAGCGTTTTTCGAAAACGGACGCGACAGAAATGGCAAAAAAATTGTCAGAATACGAACACATTACAGTATCAGCAGGCTATGTACAGCAAAAGCACTTTCATTACAGTTGCGGCGCTCACAAGTTATACCACACAGTTTGTGCACAAAGAAACAGCACATGCGCAGCGTGTGCGCGCCAAAGCGTTTGCATGAAGCAATGCACACGCTGCCAGGGTGCTGTATTACCGTACTAACTTGTGAACGCCGCTGCAGTATCTTTTCGTGTCCGGCAAACGCTCTAACTTAGAGCGAGAGCAGCTGGAAAATACTGAGAGCATCTAACAGAACAAAAACAGATCTCCGGTTCTCCAAAGGGATAAACTGCACGACTGGCTTCCCCTTAAGACGCCCTTGAAAGATCCGCATGAGCTGGTAGCATAAATATCAAAAGCTTGATCTCTCAAACACCTTACCGTATTCCTTGCTAACAATACATTCCACATAAAATACAAAAAAATCCTAATAATTCATTGTCAAATAACCAGATATCTGCTTGCCCACTCTGTAAGCGTGGATCCGATTAGCGTTTACATTTGACTTACGAAGTAGTCCGTTCTGTAAAACATCCTATTTGTCGCTGCGCAAACTCCCGACCCACATCAGCGGATCGAAGATCATTTGCAGTGAATACAGCGTGGACACCGCGGTGAAGACGGTGCCCGGTAGGCCGATGTGGAGGAACAATCCCATGAAGAAGAACGTCTGTATCGGTGCCCAGCACACCACCACACTGATAAACGTCAGCGTTAACACGACAAACGGCTTAACGGTTTTCCTTGGTGGCGATGGCTGCGTAGCGGTGGATTGGGGATTCTGCGTGGAAGTTTCTCTCCTAGCCGGTGTTGATTTTCTGGTGTTTACGGAAACACTGCGGCGACGTGAACTTCTCTTTTTCCACAGTTTAACAATAATGAACACATACGCTACCATTATAATGAGCATCGGGAGGAGACCATTCACAATGTCATCCATTTTGTTAAAATCCAGGAAACTGGGAGAAATTTGTCCGCAATCTTGGTACTGCGCGTAGGAAGCCGGATGATACTTCAGTGAATCGATCAAAAATAGCGGAAGATTAACAAGATGGACGTAGATAACAGCGCCCAGACAGATGCACACAGCCAAGCGTTTAGTGTGGCGCTCGCGGTAGGAGATGGGAAAGGCTACGGCCCACACCCGGTTGAGGGAAATGAGGACGTGGAAGATGACTGGCATGACACTCGATACTTTGTTGTATATGTACAGCACGCACACAGAATAACCGGTTGCCTGGTAGATGAAATATAGTTCGTCAAGGATTGCCATGGGACGCGATACGAGGTTGGAGAGGAACAATGCCAACAGGTACACACTGAAAGGGTCGATGTACGCCGGGATGAAGCAGTGGACGAGGAGGACGGCGGCATTCAGAAGGAGGGAAAAGACGGAGATGAGCAGCTTCACGATAAGAAGCGGTGTCCATCCCGTGGCGGACCGACGTAGCGTTCCGTAGGTCGAGTTGGAGATTAACCCGTTTAAGAAATGGTTGCCCGTCGTGTTGAGGTACGTTGTATTGATGGAATTAAGCATGATCAATAAAATTATCGGTGAATATAAGCAGTGCGGAAGGGGATTACTGTGTTGAACAGGAGGATTTTGGTGACCGTCATATAATGTGGAACGTGAGTTCCGACTGCTTGGAAGAACAATTTCGCGGTCGATAGGAACATGCTGTCATGCTGAGAATGCAATCTTGAGGGTGTGCATCATTTTCCGGGAACGTGTTCCATGAAAACTGGAACTGCCAATTTCCGTTTGATCTCGTGTTATGGAAGTCCATTTATTTCCCTAATTTGAGATGATTCTTATGACAATACCGTATCATTCAAGCGACAAACCATATTGTTCCAGAGGCGCCACACTGAGATGGCTGCGAGTGTAATTAGTGTTGACAGGAGAATGTGATTCTTTAATTTTGGCTTCCTTACTTAGTATCCCATTTGCAGAATCCGCGTGGATCGAATTTTCGTGCATTTCTCATATATCATAATTAGATATGAAACTGTTCTGTGTTGATAATTCACCTGTAACCGGCAAGCAGATATCCGGAGATGTAGCGCCTCGGGAAACAACTTTCTGTGGCGTGTGATCTAACGCCTGTTTGAGCAGTGCGAGCAAAATTGCACGTATCAGGGGGTACATTTTGCGTAAATGCGCACTGCAGCTGATATGAAATAATTTGGCTCCGTTCCGAATGGCAGTTCTTAACGCGGATCATGGTTATGGTTTTATTAACCACACATGATCCACGCTATTCGAGCTTTTCTAGTGACTGCGATTACCTTATTCTAGAGACTGGCTTTACTAGTTTTTAAATAATACTAGCGGTGATTGTCGACCACATCACTGCACCGAACGCGAGCGATAACCCACTGGCAACTCTTACGCATTTCCAGCGCCAGTTCAGCACTACTAGTAAGTGTAAGTTTGTACAACAGCCCTTGCGCAGATATGCTGTGTCTGTACATAACACTGAAGAACGGATCGATGTGTTGAATTACAGCATTTTATTAGCAAGTTTAAAAAGGTCACGGATTAATGTGATAAATTATGGTAGTTTTACCAACCACATCAAAAATTCTTGTCGTATTAACACATTTCCTTCAATGTCGAAGAAGATATTGATCGAATTCATTTAGTATATTATTATTCCAAACACATTTTGATATGAGGGTAGAAATGGACAAAACGACGCAGTAAAGGAACAGTAACACAAACCGGCTCAAAACCAAACACTAGGAAACTAGCAGATCAAAAACAAACCATCGAGCTGATGCTGCTTCTCGACCGTTCCTAGTACACAAGCAGCATTACCACGCTGAATTTCAATGCTCAACCGTTGCAACAGAAAATGCTTAGCACGCGTTTCTCCAGTCTGCTCCCTTATGCGTCTGGCCAGATCGTTAATAAAATCCATGGTGAGGGGTCCGCAGCTGCCCATTGTTTCTAACGCGACCGGCTGGAAATTGTACTGATCAAGAAAGTCAGCATACTTGCCGCATTTCCGGTGTTCGGCCGCTTCTGCTGCAGCACCAGCATGATCGGATGTCTGACCAATATAAGTCATTGCAAACGTGTCGGCCACAGTAACGTCCCACACCAACGCTTTGCCGTTTTTCCAGGGATAGTGTGTTAATCCATCCGGACGCTTGCCATTTCTTTCCAACCCTGAAGGTTCACGAATGGAAGTTATCTTCGCTGATCCGAGAGCTCTCTGAACGACATCATTCAAATGCTCATGCCGCGGAATTCTTCCCTTACTTCTCTTACACGACAGACCGTGGCGGCCAAATTGATCAACCATATTTCCACAAATACATCTGTGCTCACTGCAGATAATGGCACCCAAGCGTAACGCCACTGCGATTCTCACTGCCGCATCATCCAACAAGTTTCCTAGGCTGGCTACAGGCAAAGCTGACAACCAAGCAGCTGACTCTTTCATGGAGATTGCCAACAAGCGTGCTTTATCGATAACGTCGGCACTCTCCAATAAAGACCGATGCTCCTTGGCGTACACAATTGCCGTCCACGCAGACTGATAGCGACGCTGTTGTTCGGGTGGGGGCGTTTCAGCATATTTCTCACAGAACTTGTCCAGGCACAGTTCAATATCACCTTCAGCATCTCCAGGCACGATAGCGGTTACAAGTGCTTTTGTGGCATAACGCGACGATAAGTAGGCAGGCATGGAGATTTCCTCTGCTCGTGGGAGTCCTAGTCCGCCCAACCGGTCAGGCAGTGAGGCTTGCTTCCAGGTAATTTCCAACATTTGGACGTTAGTAACCTCCTCCGCTTTTTTCTTTATGGCGTTGTCGAATTCATGAAGCTTTTCCGGGCATTTCCAACACGGCGAACACCTAAGTGTGAACAACAACCTGGGCAGCGACAGACTATTCTTAAGTAAGTACAAAGACTGATGAGCTGGTAACACACCAAGAAGATCGGTCAGTCGTTGGATCTGACCGATCTTGCCATCCAGCACTCGCCCAATTGCCCAGTCAGTCAGCGGGGCGCCCAATAGTTCCAGCTTGTCTTCCGTCACCCACTGGATTCCGGGCGCTACCTCGCTGAACATCTGAAAAATTTCCTCCTGTTCTGCCAGCGTTCCACCGGTCATGAACAATTCGCACTTGTTCGGGTTGATTTGCAGTCCAATTTCCAACGCGCAGTTAACTACGGTCCTAAAGTCTGATAACACACAGATCGCAGATCCTCCCATCGTTGCATCGTCCAAATACCAAACGTTAAATGGGGACCGCATTCCTTTTGAAAGCTCATCTGTACACAGGCAAAACAATAACGGTCCCAACGGATCTCCTTGCTGGATACCGTTGGCTGATAAAATAATATTTTCACCACAAAACAAAAAAGATGAGCCACCGTATGCTGCATGCAAAAAGGCGTAATACTGGGGGATCACTTCAGCCGTTTTCTTCAACATGACATCTCTTCGCACGGTGTTGAATGCGTTGGCGAAATCTATCTTTTGAAGCACTTGAACACCGTCGGCTTCTTTTTCCAGGAATTTTCGTGCAGAATGCACTGCTACTTCAGCACCACCACGCGTTCCGTAGCCAAGCTGAACAGGACGGAACAGCTCACCCATCTGGTCCTGGACACGTTGTCCGATCAGCTTACTGAACAAGCGTCTTAAGGTACATCCACATGCGATTGGGCGAATTCCACCGGATTTTTTCTTAAGGGGGGTTAATATTGCTCCAAAAAATACCTTTCTGGTAGCTGCTGGCATTTTTCCCGCAAGAACCACTTTAGCCAGTTTTGCCAACGCGGATGAGAGGTGCGAACTTGTTTCCCCTGGCACACTCAACATGTCTTTGATATGCTGCGGCCGTAGACCGTCAGGGCCAGCTGAAGAGCCTGCAGGGAAAGACTTAACAGCACACAGAATGTCGTCAACAGAAACATCGTGTGTTACGTGGGGAACATCACAGACCGTTGTATCCAGATCCGCTGGTGGATCTGGATGTTTTTCCTTAAGCGCCCTTATAACTTCCTCCGAAAGATCAGCAATGGTGTCTTCGGAGGTGAGTATCTTGACGGCTCCACTAATGTCTCCATCCTGAAGCTTCGTGTCAACGGCTTTTCGGAGAGCTTCGTCGGATGATCGTTTTTTTCGTGACTTACGAGCAGCTTTCTGTGCATCCAGTGGTTTGCCAGCCAAATTGGCTTTGACAGCGCTTGCCAGGGACGGGCCTCTGCCAGATTTCCCAGGAGGAGCGTGGAGATTGTCAAAAGCAAACAAAAGCAACTTCGACCAGGAGTCTTCATCGTTCCGTGCGCATACATCTTCCACAATCTTCGTGTACGCTTCAGCGCATGCCCGTCTGGCTCCTACTGGGATACGTCGAAGAATGGCATGCTGCCTCCGTCCCGCGAAAATTCGCTCCTCAAGGGTTTGTGTGGGAACTGCAGCAGTAGACGCACCTGCTGGCACTGGCGCCTGTAGAGTTTTCGCCCTAGCAGTTCGACAGACTCCAGAATCCCTGTGTGACTTCAAGCCATGGTTTGTCACAAGAGATTTCCCACACAGATCACAAATAAAAACCATGTTGATAGAATATCATCATCATATCTCTCATTTCCCTTTGTTAAGCTAATTAAGCCACAGGGTCCGCTGGTGGCAGGTTCGGAATAATGGAAGGGAATAATGGGATATTTGAATTGGCTACCAACATCACTAATAACACAGGCTCCGCTAGTGGAAGGCTCGGAATAATGGAAGGGGATAATGGGATATTTGAATTGGCTACCAACATCACCAGTAACACAGACTCCGCTGGTGGAAGGCTCGGAATAAATTCAGGGAATAATGGGATATTTGAATTGGCCACCAACATCAGCAACAGGTAAGCAGTAATCATTATTGCACTTGAAATCGAGGGTGATCATTATTACAGCATTATACGGGCATCTCGTAGGAAAGGGCAGTGCATTTCGCGGTTTTGTGGTTCTGGCTCTGCTGTGGGTTGTGTATACTCTGCTATGGAGCGCGTGCTCTTGGCGATCGGTGCAAATTTTATATTTCGATAATACTCATTAAATACCAACTACTACCCAAAGAATCATGGGGTCTGGAACCCGTGTCATGAGATCTAAAAGTGCCTATTTACTTTGCCGGTCAACGCGCCGGAAATTTGGCTCTACATATCGGCAACAGCTTCAGCAGACATAACCGTACGTGCGGTTCATGATTCTTACAGTTCAGTTAGTGACGATGCCGGTACAACGCTTCCATGGATTTGTAGGAAATGCTGCGCTCGCAAATGACGGTTTTTGATACTAAGACTGAAACGAAAAGATCACTCGACAATCTGAACGTTGGTATTAAAACACTGTAACTCCGCAGCTCAACACTTTCTCATCAGCACGAGGGCGTTTGCCGCTCATTAAGTGGTAGACCAGCTTATTTTATTGTACAGTTATTGGACCGCGGACCAACTAGCCTATTTCAAAATAACCATATAAATTTCATTTTAATATCATATTATTATAAAAACATTTCATTT